CAGCATCCTTACAGCCCCCCTTCAGATACTGGAAGGCTGCTATGAGGTCTCCATGCAGCCTTCTCTTCTCCAGGCTGAACAGCCCCAACTTTTTCAGCCTATCTTCATACAGGAGGTTCTCCAGTCCCCTGATCATCCTCGTGGTCCTTCTCTGGACTTGTTCCAACAGATCCATGTCCTTTTGATGTTGAGGACACCAGAACTGCACACAATACTCCAGGCGAGGTCTCACGAGAGCAGAGGAGAGGGGCAGGATCACCTCCTTCAAGCTGCTGGTCATGCTCCTTTTAACACAGCCCCGGATATGGTTGGTTTTCTGGGCTGTGAGCGCTCACTTAAGCCGGCTCATGTTCATTCTCTCACTGACCAACACCCCCAAGTCCTTTTCCGCAGGGCTGCTCTGAATCTCTTCTCTGCCCAACCTGTAGCTGTGTCTGGGATTGCTCTGACCCAGGTGTAGGACCTTGCAATGTCATGGTTAAACTTCATGAGGTTGGCATCAGCCCACCTCACAAGCCTGTCAAGGTCCCTCCAGATGGCATTCCTTCCCTCCAGTGTATCAACCGAACCACACAGCTTGGTGTCATTGGCAAACTTGCTGAGGGTGCACTCAATCCCACTGTCCATGTCAGCAACAAAGATGTTGAACAAGATCGGTCTCAACACTGATCCCTGAGGGACACCGCTCGTTACTGGTCTCCAGCTGGACATTGAGCCATTGAACACAACTCTTTGCGTGCAGCCATCCAGCCAGTTCTCTATCCACCGAGTGGTCCACCTATCAAATTGATGTCTCTTCAGTTTAGAGACAAGGATGTCATGTGGGACAGCGTCGAACGCTTTGCACAAGTCCAGGTAGATGACATCAACTGCTCTACCCCTGTCCATCCGTTCCGTAGCCCCATCATAGAAGGCCACCAAATTGGTCAGGCAGGATTTCCCCTTAGTGAAGCCATGCTGGCTGTCACCAAGCACCTTGTTGTTTTTCATGTGCCTTAGCATGTCTTCCAAGAGATCTGCTTCAAGATTTTGCCAGGTACAGAGGTGAGACTGACTGGTCTGTAATTCCCCGGGTCATCCATTTTCCCCTTCTTGAAAATGGGGGTTATATTTCCCTTTTTCCAGTCATTGGGAACTTCACCTGACTGCCATGATTTTTCTAATGTGATGGACAGCAGCTTAGCAACTTCATTCACCAGCTCCTTCAGGACCTGCAGATTGATTTCATCAGGTCCCATGGACTTGTGTACGTTCAGGTTCTTAAGATGGTCTCAAACCAGATCCTCTCCAACAGTGGCTTTAGCAACTTCATTCACCAGCTCCTTCAGGACCTGCAGATTGATTTCATCAGGACCCATGGACTTGTGTATGTTCAGGTGCTTCAGATGGTCTCGAACCAGATCCTCTCCTACAGTGAGCCCAAGGTCTTCATTCTCAGAGTCCCTGCATCTGCTTTCCAAGACTTGAGTGGTGTGGTCAGAGCATCTGGCAGTAGACTAAGGCAAAGAAGTCATTCAGAACCTCAGCCTTCTCCAAATCCAGGGTAGCCAGTTCTCCTGATAGCTTCCAGAGAGGGCCCACATTGTCCCTAGTCTGTCTTTTATTTGCAATGTACCTATAGAATCCCTTCTTGTTATCTTTAACATCCCTAGTCAAGTTTAATTCTAACTCGGCCTTAGCTTTCCTAACCTGGTCCCTAGCTTCCCGGACAACATCCCTGTATTCTTCCCAGGCTGCCAGTCCTTGCTTCCACCTTTTATAAGCCTCTTTTTTTCCTTTGAAGTTTCCTCAGCGTCTCCTTATCCATTCAAGGAGGTCTCCTGGCCCTCCTGCTGCACTTACTTCTAGTAGGGATGCAACACTCCTGAGCCTTGTAGCAGGTGATCCTTGAATAACAACCAAGATTCTTGGGTCCCCCTACCCTCTAGGGCTATATCCCATGGAACCCTACTAAGCAGGTACTTGAAGAATATATATATAATTCTTGAAGAATATATATTTAATATATTCATCAACGATTTAGATGAGGGTATTGACTGTACTATCAGCAAGTTTGCTGATGACACTAAGCTGGGAGGAGTGGCCGACACGCCAGAAGGCTGTGCTGCCATCCAGAGAGACCTGGACAGGCTGGAGGGTTGGGCGGGGAATAACTTGATGAAATATAACAAGGGAAAGTGTAGAGTCCTGCATCTGGGCAGGAACAACCCCAGGTTCCAGTATAGATTGGGGAATGACCTGTTAGAGAGCAGTGTAGGGGAGAGGGACCTGGGGGTCCTGGTGGACGACAGGGTGACCATGAGCCGACACTGTGCCCTTGTGGCCAAGAAGGCCAATGGCATCCTGGGGTGTATTAGAAGGGGGGTGGTTAGTAGGTCGAGAGAGGTCCTCCTTCCCCTCTACTCTGCCCTGGTGAGACCTCATCTGGAATATTGTGTCCAGTTCTGGGCCCCTCAGTTTAAGAAGGACAGGGACCTGCTGGAGAGAGTCCAGCGCAGGGCAACTAAGATGATTAAGGGAGTGGAGCATCTCCCTTATGAGGAAAGACTGAGGGAGCTGGGTCTCTATAGTTTGGAGAAGAGGAGATTGAGGGGTGACCTTATTAGTGTATATAAATATATAAAGGGGGAGTGTCACGAGGATGGAGCCAGGCTCTTCTCAGTGGCAAACAATGAAAGGACAAGGGGAAATGGGTACAAATTGGAACACAAGAGGTTCCACTTAAACTTGGTAAGAAACTTCTTCTCAGTGAGGGTGACGGAACACTGGAACAGGCTGCCCAGGGAGGTTGTGGAATCTCCTTCTTTGGAGACATTCAAGACCCGCCTGGACACGTTCCTGTGTAACCTTATCTAGGTGTTCCTGCTCCGGCAGGGGGATTGGACTAGATGATCTTTTGAGGTCCCTTCCAATCTCTAACATACTGTGATACTGTGAAGAGGCCAAAGTCTGCTCTCTTGAAGCCCAGGGCAGTGAGCTTGCTGCACGCTCTTCTCACTGTCCTGAGGATCTCGAACTTCACCATCTCGTGATCGCTGCATCCAAGGCTGCCCCGGAGCGTCACATTTCCAACCAGCCCTTCCCTGTTGGTGAGCAGGAGGTCAAGCATGGCACCTCTCCTTGTTGGCTCCTCTATTACTTGCAGAAGGAAGTTGTCTTCCCCACAGTGGAGGAACCTCCTGGATTGCTTGTACCGAGCCGTACTGTCCCTTCAACAGATATCAGAGTGGTTGAAGTCTCCCATGAGAACAAGGGCCTGCGAGCGTGAGGCTGCTCCTATCAGTCTTCATCCATAGTCCTCTTGATCAGGCGGTCTGTAACAGATCCCCACAGTAATGTTTCCCATCGCTGTTATCGCTTTAACCCTGACCCACAAACTCTCTGTTGACTGCTCACCTGTCTCCAGACAGAGTTCCATACTCTCCAGCCTATCCCTAACATAAATAGCAACTCCCAAATGAAGCCAGCTCATTGACTAGAGCAGTTCAAATATCTCTATGTTGCTCCAAGCATTTATTATAGGTGCTGGCAACTGACTGGGTGTGTTAGGATGGAATGATGCCCCCCTCCCCCCACACATCTAGTTTAAAGCCTCTGTAACCAGCCTGGCAAGCCTACCAAAACCGTCAGCCCCCAGTAGACCTGGCCTCCTAAACTGAGTCCCATGTTCTAACTACCCAACCTCGTGACTATAGCACCACTGTTCTAACCATTTATTAACCTGGCCAATCCTCCTAGCCTTTTTAAAGTCCTCCCCTTTATCCTGGAGTATTGATGAAAACACAATCTGAGCCCCAGAGCCCCTAACCACCTCTCCTAGCGCTCTGTAGTCCTTCTTTATGTTCTCTGGGCTACTGCTATCTATATCCCTAGCACCCATGGATCTAGTCCGTGGGACTTACTAGAGCAGGCAGCCTCTCTGCAACATCCCTGATCTATGCCCCTGGTAGGCAACACACCTCCCTTGAGACTGGGTCAGGCCCACATATAGGTGCCTCTGTTCCCCTCAAAGTAGAGTCCCCTACTACTACGACCCGCCACTTTTTTGTGGCAGCACCAGTAGAGCTCTTTACCAGTGCACCAGCCAGTTGTTCATGGTGCGAGTGTGTTTCCTTGTTAGCCCCCTGCAGAACTGCAAAGCAGTTCTGGGTGGGGACAACAGATTTAGGAGGAAGCCCCTTGCTTTTAAGTGTCCTATTCCTCCTTTTTGTGGTTTTTGGTTTTTTTTTGTTGTTGTTGTTGGTTGGTTGTGGTTTTTTGTTTGTTTGGGGTTTTTTTGTTGGTTTTTTTTTTTTTTTTTTTTTTGTTTGTTACTATTTCCCAGCTTTTTGGGTTAATGGCCTCCTTCTTTCCTGCATGAGCTACAGGGGACACTTGAGGCCCCTGCACAGTTTGGACCTCCAGCAAGCAGTCCTGCTTCCTCTCAGCTTCCCTGACGTCTTTTAGTCTGTTGACAGCGTCCCGCAGCTCAGCCCCTGCTGCGGGAGGACCTCCACCAGGGAGCACAGGGGGCAGCCCTGCCCATTGTGCACCTTTCCCTCACGAGACCAGTGCAGGCACTCTCTGCACTCCGAGCTCTGCACTGCAGCCTCCCCTCTCACCGGCTCTGCCTGGATGCCAACGCTGGCCACCGCCGGGGCAGCCAGAGCAGAGCTCCCAGACCGGGCCCTGGTCATGTAGACAGCGCTCACCATCCCGCTCGCCTGCCCGCGCAAACTAACACACCCGACTCGCTCGTGCTCCCTGGGGCAGGTTTTTAACCAATCAGGGCTGGCGCCGTTCCTCCTGGCTCTGCCCCCTGTGAGTCCCTGCTCGCGTCAGCTGAGCTGCCGGCCTCTGGGCAGGTCCTGTCGAGGACTTGGGGCTCCCTTGGTGGGTGTTGCTGCTCTCAGTTGAGGCTCCTGGACGCTGAGGTTCCCCCTCTCAGCTGCTGAAGGCGTCCTCTCTCGCTACTCACCTCAGCAGCGTGTCTGAAAAGCCACTCTGAAAAAATGAAACCACTTCAAAGTCAAGTTCTTAACTGTGGCCATCCTCAGAGGAGTTAACTGTTTATTACAGCTCCTGTGTTTCACACCACAAAGCTTGAAAGCCCAGGGAGTCCTACAGTTGTACCTGCAGATGCCAAAATGCTTCCCAGCCTCTGCTGTCCCTCCCGCAGCAGGGTCTGCTCTGAATGCTGTTCTCCCTGCCCCAGGTGAGGCATCAAGCCCCAGGGTCCCTGTTTTTTTTCTGTGGAGCTCTCACTCCTTAATCCACTATTAACTGGAACCATTTGAACAAAACTCAGGACCTCCTGTTCTCTGCCATTAAAATCTCAGCTCTTCAACAATCTTAGATTTTGGTACTTTGCATCCAACAATAATTTTCTTCTTGGAAAAATTAATACAGGGTCACATACTCAGGATTACTCAGCCTTTCCAAATGAAGTTAATCATCTCCCATGTGTTAATTAGATGATTTAGAGGTTGGTCCACAATTAATTTTACCCTGGAAACAATAGATAAATATCCTTGTGGGAAAAATATGAGTTTTACTTTAGTATAGTTGTGAGTAATGGCTGGTACAGGAAGAATGTGAATTTGTATTCATTATATTACATGTGTGTTATATTACAAGGAACACATTCCAACAGCAGTGTTGTTGTACAGCATTATGCAGTAGAAAATGTGAGCAATAGCATTATCAGGACCCACAGGAAATCCAAATAATGCCATCCCATCCTTCTACCAATGTTCGTTAGTCCCACACAAAACAACCCTTTATTGGCATATGCAGTTATCTTGCTTGGCATCTGAGAAGCTTCAGTACTAACCAGTCTGTGTTTTTTTCTTCTCTCCTTAATACACAGAGGATTACCCTTGTGAATGACTACATAAATAGAAAATGTGATGGCTTTGCTTTACTCCACTGAGCCTGTCTTTTTTTTTCCTGGCAGCAGTTTTAAGTGTTGGTGTTGCATCCGTATTAAGTGTGAATTCCCTCGTGTAAATCCCATTAAGGTTAATAGAATTTTAGTTTTACTGCTTAATAAATTTCAAAGTGGATTAAATTTTGAGAAATATATAACCAACCACAACACACAGAACACTACCCCCAGTGTACATATCGGAAGTGCTAATGGAGACACAACGAAAACAGCTTCCTATCACATGTAAAGAAAATATAATAATCTCAAGCTTGTAACTTTATTAATATTTTAGTATCATTTGTCTTTTCCTGTTTGTTGCTTTCTTTTGCCATTTCTACTAATTTTGAAATTACATGCTTCCAGCTTTTGTGCTTCTGGATTTACAATAATATGATTTGAGACTCCAAGTTCTGTTACACTAGATTTGCCAACTTTAAAAGACATGGCTAAGGTAGAGGAACTTTTTTCATTGGAGGCAGGCAACACTTCTGAACTTTTGGTTGTCGGTACTTCTCTGAAGTCAAGGTAAGGCTGTGTCTCCATAGGCTGGCAGCTTTTCCTCTGGCTCACCGTGGGGCAATGCCATTCCTCATAGGTGAGGGTCAGTCCTCTCCACTCAATTCCAAATTTAGCTAACAAAAGAAAAAAGCTCCAAGCTTTCTAATGTTCACCCATCTCTGCATTTCTGCTAGAATTTGGTTTTTCCCACTGTTCACATCCCTCTGCATATCTCACTTTTTATTTGTGCTTCTGGTATGGTGAGTAGGGAACTCTGCCTTATGTATAACTGTAAATTGCAGCCAAGGTTGTGAAACAGCAGTCTATCTGATTATTAGTTACGTTCAGAAGACTGACCGAAAATGTTAGTACAGGTTTCCATATTTATTGTCTCAGAGAATTCCACATCCAGTAAGAATGTAATTTTTTTTTCTTTACATGACAGCCCTGTAACTCTGCCTGTTATCTGAAAGTCAAGCTGTCATCTTTGCTTTTAATGATTTTTTTGCAACAGAAACTTACAATATTGCTGTTAACTTGAGCCAGCATAGGTCTGAGGCTGTTTTTACAGCTCCATTGCTTCTGAAAAGAGCTGTAGTGAAAAGAAGAATTAAAAAAGAAAAAAACCCAAGAAATTCTCTTTGCTATTAAAATAGGTATTAAAATAGATCCTAAGCATTGACAGGATCACCAGTGGTTCAAAATTAAAATGGCATGTCTTCATAGTCCTTTCTGATGACTATAACCGTGCTTCTAATGTCTAGGGGCAGTAAAGAGATGCAATAGCGTCCATCTAAACAAGGAAGGTGGCATGCTTCTGTAATGTACATAATATCTTAAAATTGAAAAGCAACTTCAATATCATTCATTCATGCTAACAAGAATTACCTAGGAAGCTCAAGAGAGGTATCACTCGTGATTTCAGTCTTCTTGTGGATGGATCCAAACTGACTCTGCTTGCTTTACCTTCTAGTGTTCCAGGTCGTGCTTGATTTTATCTTCAATTTCAGCAGTTTTCAGTGGCAATCTGAGTACCTTTTTTGTGATACTATCTAGAAATTCTTACCTTAAGAGGTAGTTTGTAGTTCTTCATCTTTCCTTTAGCCTTTAAAACTAGAGCTTGCAGTTAGACTGTAGTAGACTGTAGTAGTAGTAGTAACTACAGTAGTAGTAACTACAGTTAGACTGTAGTAGACTACATTAGACTGTAGACAGTTAGCTGCTGACTGTAAGACAAAGTTGTACAATTCTACCTTTATTCAGTTTGGGGTAACTTTGTCCGGGGGGAGTTGGGCTGTTGTACCACTGATGATGGCCAATGTAACATGTATATTTGCTGCAGTCTTAACAGCAAGTGGTACACCTTCCCCTAAACCAGGTTGCTCAAAGCCCCATCCAACCTGGCCTTGAACACTTCCCTGTTTCAGAAATGGACATGTAAAAAACAATTCACTTGAATACCTGGCTTACACTTTTGTGTTGTTTTTACCAACAGAAAAAATATTCAATGTCAGTATCTCATCACAATGTGTCGTTAAGAAGTTTTAAAGTGGTTGCCTCTGCTGTGTAGTAGACTTGTATAGCTTCATGTGTGAACACTGCACGTTAATTTTTTAGGTGGCACGGATATATCTTGAAGAGCTGCCTTAGGGTGGCTTTTCATTAATCTGCTCAATAAGTATCTTGAGGGATAATTGTGAAGAACACTTTGGGTGGTCAGTTTTTGTTGGTTTAACAATATGGTGGTTCTTGATGTGTTTTTAATGAAATGCTTTTGGTGGTGTTTCCTGCACTTCCACTACCCAGTCCCACTTCTGACACATCTCAGTGCTGATGAGACTTCGAGAAGCCACAAGTCCTCTATCCAACAAGGAGCGTTTTGGTGAGGTGGTCTGCACATGACAAATCTGAGAAGGCCAAGTACCATGGAGGGGAAGAAATCAATTTTACCTGACCCTGCTTATTTTTATTGGGACTGTTCTCTAAACTATCAAAGGTGCTTTTTTGTATGTTTTCTTTACTTGAGCAGAATAGGTAATAGCAAAGCTTAAATGCGAGTATTATTTAAATCTTTTTATGGTAATGGATTATTTTATACAGTTCAGCTTTATGGATCTGGGTCTATTTTCCACAGATCCTGCCAAAAGAGTTTCCATTCTGGGGCTTTCTGCTTATTTCTTCCAGCTGCTTCTCTTTCTTATCCCTTCTGTTGTTATTCTCCTCCTGTCTCCTTGTTTTCACTACTGATGGAATAGAGGCTTGGTTACACTTTGAAATCATAATATAAATGTTCTTGGCAATTGTTTATTTCTATACTCTTTATAATTATTCTCCAGCGATTCCAATTGTATTTTCCAGTTGGAGAACATCACTGAGGACTGCATTGCTCACTCAGAATGTTAAAGGTGCAAATAATCTTTTAAGAGAACTCATAAGGAATATGTTTGACATCAAGACACAGCAGGAGTAACACAGTGGCCAAAATGGTGTTGATTCTGTTGACCAGAGTGATGCAGGAAGAAAAAGTCTTTAAGCAGCTCTTCATTTCCTACCTAGTCCACAACCTACTCCACAAAGTTGGTCTGCAGCACAAAGACTCCTGCCAATCTTACCCTACACATTCACCATCGACAGTAATGGGATTCATGGGACTTGGCCCAGCCTTCTCCAATGGTATTGTGCTGGTTAAATGCATGAAATGGGGGTGTGCGTGCTTGTGTCTGTGTGCATTGTTTGAATCCTATGTCATATTAATGACAGATAATTTTAAAAGAAAAAAAGAAAAGGTTGTGTGGAAGTCATTTGACTACCTGTTACTTCAATGGCATTAATCCTAGCCTTGTCAGAAGTGAATCAGTACTCCTTTCTGCAAAAATAACAACTGGCATGGAGGCAGAGAAGCGCTGTTTTCTCACATGTAAAACTATTTGCAAAATGAAGTCCTTTGTTTGTTTATTTGTTTGACTCTCTGTGTGTTTGTTTTCTCTACTTTTAGAACATATTAGAAAGCATCCTGCTCTTGTTATTTCTTTTGAATAGTCTATTTTCTGTAGAAAGTAATATCCACATGGCAAACTCCTATTCATCAAAACTGTGCCAAATATGTGCCATTTTAAAGCTAAATATATGTTATTTTATTTTACTTTAAATCAAGCCAAAATGCATACCAAGAACATAGCTCTGGATGTGGTGTTGGTCCTATTTTCAAATGAGTATTTACTGTGCGAGGCACTTCTCTGCAACAGGCTGAGTTGGTAAGGGCCTTCTTTATGAATGCAGTTGAAAAAGCAGTATTTCTTCCTCCTCCTACTGTGAACTTACCTTTTGGTTGTAAAAATACCTATTTTTATTACTCTTGCTGAAGCATGAAAAGCATGAACTTGTGCACCTGATGCAGTCATACTTGGCTCCCTGGCACTCCCCTTTCAGTTGCATTTTAGGAGTCTTTCTCCAGGGGACGTAAAGATTACAAAAAAAGGGTTCAATTTGGGGGGAGTAAAGTGTTAGTACTTAGGAGTTTCTATATCAACTCTTACATCCTTCTGTAGTTATGACTGGCTGATGTACAGGAGCGTATTTTTGTTTCTATTTTTCTTCCCTCTTGATGGGTGCTAATAAGTCTTTCCTCTTGTCAAGTGCTGGTGATATTTTTCTTCCTTAGCTTGGTCAGGATGAAAAAAAAATTCTTATCCAGGCTTTCCCAGTCTTCTACTATACATCAAAACAAGGCCTGACTTCAGGCCAGAATAAATAAAATAGGGAGATTCTTGGAGTTACAGAACCACGTAGTAAATATCTTCCTTTTCCATTATTTTGTTTTATAAAATGTTAAAAATTGCTCTTTCTCCTTTAGTAGGGATTCAATTTTACATATCTGGTTCAACTTTTCTAAAAATTAAAAAAATATTACTGAGCAATTGTGCTAGCAAATGCTGAAACTAAAAAACTCTATGTTATGGCATGGCCAAATTTAAGATGTTATGAGGTTTATAAGTTGGGTTGGTGGTTTTTTTTAATTTTATAAAGAATTAAGAGTAATCCGAAATGGTGGTAATTTGTCTTTGATCACATGGAAAACTATTCTACATGGCTTGCAAATTAAGTGACTTAGGGAAATCCAGTAATTGAAACTAGGAATAACTTAGCAATTTCACATCTTGAACACTTGAACTGAGCTTTGCTTGCAAAAACAACATGGTTCTTTAAACAGAGTCAGGCCAAGTCACCAAGATGAGTTTGGTCTCCTCAAAACAGCCAGAAAATTCGTTTCTAGCTTTTCTGAATAATCTCAGCTGGGAAAAGGCATTTATCAGCCTTCTCCTAAGAATGTAAAATTTGAGGGGGGGTTGGGGGTTGTGCTGAAATGTTATTGGCCTTTGTTGTTGAACTTCTAATTATTAAACTTCTGATATAATTCTAATTAATACATGTTTATTTTTAATTGCAGCATTTTCTCATCAGAAGTCAAAGAAGCTGATTTTCAAGTGTCAGCTGCATTAGCAACTTCTTCAGTGAGAGAGTGGAAAAGAAAATCACCTCTCTAATCAGGATTTCACTGCATGAGAAATAGCTGGTTAAGTCTTTAGAAATCAATTCCAGTGCAGAGACTCTTTTGTAGGGAAAGAATGTTATATCTGAGAGTAAGCAGGATACAGGATTCCTTCATGTTGAAGACCTCCTTAAAAAGGACATAAAAATAAATGTGAAAATATAGCAGGTTATATAATTTTAGACAATTAAAAAAACCCCACATATGTATCAATTTGCACCTGGTAGTGAATCAGTGTGCAATGTACATAATGGAGTTAAAGACCAAGACTATGACACAGTCAAGTGATGAGAAAAACATTAAAATTGTATCAACCTGTAACCTTCCTAGGGCAACATATAAGCCAGTGGGTTTCTTTTTTTTAGGTCTTTTATCTTTAGCGTGTATAAGGGACAAATCTTTATGCTGACAGTTTTCCTGTAAATGGAGAGGCAACATCCTTCTGTAAAAAATCAGAAAATATTTCAGAATTTGGGGCCAAAAAGAGTAAGTGGCACCTCTACTTTTTCTCAACGGGTGTAATAGTACCTCTGTTCCCAAAACTGGCGTAAATCTGTTGTGCATCATGAAGACAAGCATTGAGGACTACAACCAAGGCTTGTTTCTTTTGTCCTGTAAGCACAGCTGACAACTGATACAAGAAAATCATTAAGGGCTATTATTTTCAGTTTTCTTCCCCATTGCCAAACAGGCACACCAACAGCTGGTTCCACATCCAGCCCACCTTAAGGTGAGAGTCAATGGGGACCTTCTAAAATAGATGTGCTGCTTAGGGAGGAGTGTCAGTCCACTGCCAGCTGATGCCCTTTAGGAGTTTCCAACTGTGCATCCCCAGCTGTTTATGCCCCTTCTGACAAAAGAAGGTGCTTAAGCATCTGGCAGAATAAAACAATTGATTAGCATTTCTGAGATTAAAAATGACCAATTAGGTTATCAGTTAACCACCCTCCTGCTGATTAGTTTGAAAGTATAGGCATGTTGCATATGAACAACTGATGCTGCAGCTTTGAAGGTGACTTGGGTGCAGAGGGTAATTTGAGGAAGAGTTGAAGCACTTGGTGCTGCTGCTGCAGCATGGATTATGCCTGCTTTCAGTAGAAATAGCAGGGTAATTGAAAGGCTGCTTCTCTGCTTTTCTTCATCCTTTTAGACACAAATGTAAAAAATAATCTTCTGAATAGATGATGCTGTGCAGCATGTACCCTGGTTCTATCCAGCTCCTAGAATGAGAGTACACGTGTTCCCTTTGCTTGTTTCAGTCTTTTAAATTGTTTTAATTATTAGTTTCTATTATTTCTTTTTTTTCCTATTATTTTTTATTATTAACTAGAATTTTCTATTATTATATTTGTGTTCTTTTCTAAAAAATCTTCTACGGTGCTCTTGAACTTGTAAATAATTCTTTCCAAGAGCAAACGCTCTCAGTAAAGTAACTAACATTAACCTGAGTGGTTAACTCTCCTCATTCTCTTCAGACAGCAAGTGCACATCCGTCATTAGTTATCACTGCCAGACCTGTGGGTGTGATTAACCACTGGTTTCTCCACTTCTCCACTTGCTATAGTGCCTAAGTGCACAATTGCATCAAGGACTGAACCCTGTTTTGTGTTTGCCTAAGCCAGCTGCAGCCCACAACAGGTTTATCACCTACCTCTGCCTTGTCAAGCTGTATTTGTTTCAGCTGTGTATCCATTAGCATCCACCATTAGGAGTGACATCCAGGTTACCCTTGGCAGGTGGCTGCCCTCTCTCCCCACTCTTTTCAGCCCCAGGGGATAGTGTGGCTGTTTGTCTGGCTGTGCTCTAGGGAGCAGCAATCCCCCCTACCTCTGTGTTGCTTGGCCTGGGTGCTGTGACACTTCAGGGGTCAGATCTCCACCCCAAACCCAAAATTTGCTGTTTGCTTTACAGTACGCATGGTGACACAAACTATCAACGAATACAACCAGGGCACTTTTAAATAGAAGTTAAGGTAGTTTTCACATTTATTGATACCAGCTTTACATGCTTCTTTGGAGGATTGAAGTTGTGTTTAGGGGAATGACAGTATGTCAGACCAGATCTGCAAAAGACAGTGTAAGGTCAAAGAAGAGAAGCCTTCACTTTCCAATAGTTGGTTTCTATGTATAAATTGGCACTTGATGCTCATCAAAGAATAAGAAATATTGGATATGCTCTAAATGTCCATTGTATTTCTGAGCCAACTACCTGATGGAAGTCATCACTTATATGTAAATGAACTGTCAATGGCTTGCCTCCGTTGGCAGTCGCTGGACTGTGAAGGGTATGTCTTAATAAGAACCAAAGCTCTTCACAGACTTTGATTTACTGGAAATAAAATAGAAAAGTCCTCTGAGAGTAGAAAGGACACTTGTTTCAGATAAAACGTCTAGACAGTAGCAATATATTTGGGGCTTTTATTATAGCAAAACTGCAAATTAGAATAGAGTGCTGAGAAAGTTCCTATGACCCAGCTGAGTTCAAAAACAGTTTCAGACTGATCCTTGAGACACTTACACTCAAATTAAGTTCATGAGCATTCAAAAAGTGAAAGAAAAGATGTGCAAGGTCAATGTTAAGGTTTTGCTAGAAGTCTAGAGCTCCTCAGACTCCTCCTTACATTCTGTCTAGCAAGGAGGGGTTTGCGATTTAGCTGTGATTTAAATCAGTCAAAGAAAACACAAATCACTCATTATGTTTCACTGCATTAGATAAGTCTCCTTTACAGTCCATTCTATATGATGGCTTTTTTCTTTGATTATTGAAAATGATATACAAGAGATTAATTCTATGAAATGTTACATTTCAGGGAAGAAACAATCAAAATGAAACTGAAGCATGTTTCGTCTAAGACATCTTTGTCTCTTGATTTAAGGAAAGGAAATCATACAGCATTTCTGCTGAAGATGTGGACATTTCAGAACATCCAGTTTACATGAAAACTCTTATTGTTACTTTTTTTAAATTATTATTATTATTATCATTGCTAGTAGGTTTTTTACCATCCAGAATTTTTGGAAGCTTTACTGAATTTCAAAATAAAAATTATTAGGGTGAACCTATGCTTTTTATCACAGTCTGTGTAACTTGAGAGAATTTACATGCCAAATATAAATACTGTAGAGCTTGAGTACTTAAATTAGAACCTAGATTGCTTGTATGGCTAATGGAGAATCCAGAAGGCAACGAGTGATGCATCAGTTTCCATCATCAAAGTGCTCTGAATCATCTTCCGTGTGATTTATTACAGCTTTCCAGGAATCATCCTTCACTCCTTGTGATCACCTTCTTTTCCATCAGTACAGAGATCACATGGAGACACATGGTGGTGCACCTTACCAGCATTTCTTCCCAGTTGCCACCTTTGGTATTGGAAACTGGGTTTGGAAGAAACAAATAAGTCACTAATTTGATGAGAATTAATACATTCAAAGTCGTATTTCCACATATGTGAAACAACAGCCCTGGAAGGTGTGACTGCCTGGGAATCTATGTGACACATTGCATCTGATAATTAAAAAGAAAAACAGATTTTGTTAGCTGTCTTGTTTTTTTCACAGTGCAGGTTTATGATGCTTGGTGGAGTGCAACACATCTGTGACGTGGGTCTGAAAGCAGAGATCTGTGTGGTGCTCTCAGTCTTTGAGTACTAGTTTTGAAATGGAAGGTCAGAGTGGTATTCAGACAGAGGGCTGAATAATTCTTGCTGGCCTGAATGAGATAATCTATTTGCCATTGCCATCCAAATATAAAACTAGAAATAGTTTAAGGGGATCAGGCTGAGCCTACAAGCAGTTTGAAATCTTATCACTGGAAGGTATGGAAGGTCCCTCCAATTCAATAGACTACTAACCCTGAAATCTGAACAGTAGTGATTTGGTGTCCTTTTGAGCATACAGAAATCTAGATTCAGCTCAGTGCTTGTATGCCTAGGTAGTCTATTAAATGGTCGCGGTCTATGTTTTTAGTTGCACTGTTAATTTAATATAAGCCCTAAGGTTAAATGGTACACATTGTCAGCATGATGACTGCATTAGCTGTAGCTGTTCCAGAAAGAAAATTTATTTGATAGTAACTGAATTTCCACACAGTCCAACAGATGAGTCATCAGATAATGTCCACAGAGATCAATTTTATTTATCCTTTCAGAAGATTAATAGTCACTGTTTTCTAAATCTAAGGGTATGCAAAACAACGGACTGAATTAAATCTAACAAATGTAAATGGATAATCAGAATGTCTTTTGGGGCTTCCTACTGATTCGATATTTGATACTTTGATCATAGCCACAGTGTACCATGTTCTTTTTTATCCTGTCATATGGCTAGTAAATGCCATTACAAATACAAAATTAACAGACTCGGTCCCATACAAATACAATTTGATGCAAATCATAGTAGATTGTTTGCAGATTCCTCAAGAAGGCTTTGTACCCCATCTATCCTGGCATGTAGTCTTTCAAATATTTGACAAGTCACCATTGTTGGAGAGTGAAATCTTGAAAATAACACAAGCAATATTAGAAAATCATAACAGCCCCACATGCAATATTAGAAAAATAAGGCTAAAAAGCACAAAGAAATCAGACTTAGAACATTACCCTTAAATAAGTAAAGGGCAATATTCCTACCTATGTATTCCTTGTTTTGAAGTATGTGATTCAAATATTACTTGTCACCACGGAAATAAAGGGCTGTTTTCCCCAATTACCTGACATTACACCTATAAGCAGTACAGTGCTGTAGTAGTTTCACTGCTTGAAGTGTTATCTGAAACATCTATTTTGTATTCAACCAAGTGCTATATTTAGAACCTATTTTTATTCTGCCTAGAGTATACAGTACACTAGACCTTAATGTACCCTCTAACTACAGACATGGGCACAGAAGATGTAGGCTAAAAATAGTTATTACTCTAGAAGCAATATTTTATTTGAAAGCCATCACCTGAATTCCGAAGCAGTGCTGAAAGATTAGGACTTGCTTGTCTTCAGTGCTGGAGTGAAACCCCCTCAGCAGATCCTTTTTTACAGCCGGCAAATTTGAAATTTGTATAAAAAAAGTAATAGAGTTAGAAAAATTTCAGCATGCCATTAACTCCTGCAGGAGGACAAAGTACTATTTGTGAATTCCTGTCAGCAATAGTTACTTTTCAGTGCTTTATTTTCTCCATTGGGAATAAAATAATGATTGGTAGGAGTAGCAGTGAGGAAGAAAAATAAAATTGTTTATTATTGGACCAATTGGGCCCAGTGAGATGAAGGCCAAATTGTTTTTTGCTTGTCTGAGTTTGATTTTTAGTCAGTCTGGATGTGTTTTTTGTTTAGCAGAGAACTTCAGTGAGGAGTATGTTATTTTATGACTGAGGCCAATAGAAAGTCATTGGCACAACAAAACTGCAGATTTTACAATTTCAACGCAGCTGCTCTGTGACTTTTAAGCAACTGTGAAATCACATTGTTTAAACTGTGTTTATAAGGACTGATGCCTGGATTCATCTTTTTTCAGAAATCCTTCAGATCAACAACTGGTATGGCCTCCTAACCATTTTAGCAAGTGTTTGCAACCTCAATTTAGAAATAATCACCTGGTGCCCCTGTGTTACACCCATGTATGAACACAAACATGATGTTACCAGTATCATGAATGAATTTGCTAATACTAATTCACCAGTGAAGATCCATTCATTTAATGACAAACACACTGTCTGGATGACATACCGATTTATGTGTAACGCCCTGAGCAAACTGGCATTTCAGTTGTTTTCGCAACTTTTTTATGACTTCTTATACTGCAACAGTTAATAGTACTTGGACATATTTGTTATATTGTGTTATCAAGAGTATATATACCCCATTTATAAGAAGTATTGCTTGTTTCTCATGGGCCAAATTCTTTGCAGTGAGAGATGAATTCTGGACCTCAACTACAGTAAGGACCTATGCCTTCCTACCCTGAGCCTGTGATCCAATAAACATCCACAGCTTTAAGTATTTATGCAAGTGGTGGGTTTTTTTCTTTTTTTTCTTTTTTTTTTTTTCTTCTGTTTAGCAGATTAGGATTTAACACTAGATTTTAGGTCTACAACCCAAAACATTACATGTCGAAGCTGAATTCCATCTTCTTTACAACAGGGTACCCACTTCTGGGAGCTCCCAATGACCTGAGTCCTGAAGGATCAGCCTGCTGCTTTGCATCTGCA